TAAAAGAAACATAACAATATTGTTTTATGTACTTTCACTTTTCACGTATAGTATAACTACTCTTTAAGATCAAGTACTGTGTATCTCAAAAACCAGAGCTAATAAAAATTTTTCAATGTTATTTTCGTTTTTATCACCCCAAAATTAGTAGAAATTGACTAATTTAGTGTAGGAAACATTAAAAAAATATTTTTTTGTTGTGTTGTGACCTTTCTCCCATAAGGTGAAATTCCAACTTACATGAAAACAATTATTACTCTATTTGAGATTTGCGGAGATTCTGAAGTTATTATTTGAAATTGCCTTGCTTCAAACCCATGCGTACTAATCGCTATTAACATATGAAAGGGGTGTAGTTTGATTTTCTGCCCTTCTTAAATCGTCCCCTAGACGCAAAAACAATAAGACAATTACTTCGAAATCAAAATGGCAATTATTACAAAATTAAAATGGCATCCTCTCTCTCTTTATACCGACATGGGGGTTAGAAAAAAATCCAAATCGACTCACGATACTAGGCTGGGTTCTGATCTCCCTCTCTGGTCCGGTATCCATCTAAAATACACAACCGTTGTAAGTGCCACCAAATGCAACACTCACTACCCGCAAATTCACCGGAATTCCACTATAGAGTAAAGAAATATCCTTTTTCGGATAGTCCCTTTTTAGTGACCCTCTTTCGCAACTGACTTTTCAACTAACTTTCCTAACTTCTCTATAGAAACTCACTTTCGCGACCTATTTCACGTAACTTTCTTTAGGAACTCCTCCAACTGACCGATCGCCACTGTGCCCATTAACCGACTCCATATTCTTCTCAACTCCAAAAAACTCCTCCCTTGTACCGTCCCCGGATTGGTCTGAACTTTGCAAAATATTCCCGAATTTTTTCATAACCCTTCCTACTCAAGACAAATCTTCTTTTCATTAAAGTAATTGGTCAGTTTCTATTTCAAATAAATTTTCGGACCCACCTTTTCAGATATGGCAGAACTTCCTGTCCACGGAGCTGAAATGCAAACCTTTAGCTGGCGTTTTTCGCGTTCCCAGTATTATTACTTATCAACAGGATACGTTTGTTATGTCTACTTCGAAGAAAACATAATCTTTGTGATGCCGTCAAAGATCACCAACCATAAATTAAATTCAACGCTCACTCTGTTGAAAAAGTATCGATACCGAAAAACCAAGTGACCCACCCCGGTCTTTATGAATAAAATTATATTTTTCATTGATTATCGCAATGGCAGTTATTACAGTAGTCTTAGGATCACGGTTTGAACCAGAGTATTTCAGGATCATCGTTGAAACCAGAGTAGTCTCAGGATCACCTTTGGAGCACGCAAGTCTTCAACGTATACTTGCCATTTGAACATTATGTACCTATTTATGCCATTACTTTTCTGAATTCTGATCTATTTACAACCAAATATTCATTCGATTTGTGGTTGTGAAGCGGAAATCAAATGAATAATTTATGACATAGTATGCGCATGCGCCAGAGCTCTCGCGACGCAAACTTTTGCCTACCTTACTTGTTAATATCTGGGGACTATTCAGCTTCATACGTTGAATGTGAAATGACATCTCATTGAAATACAATAGAACAAACTTTAGGGTTTTTTGACATGATTCCTGATGTGCGTGGTCGGTGATTCATGATATTCCTTATTTGCTTTATCGACGCAGTGGTAATACTACATGCTTTTGATCATAACTGTATTGGGGTATTGACTGTGTGTAGGTTTTATCTGCCACGTATATACGTGCATATACGTTTATATCTATAAATGGTGTTACAGTCTAGTGGAAAATCATTAAATTAATATCTGTGTAATTTTGTTGTGTATATACGTTTATATTGATCACAACACAACAAAATTTTTGTTTCGGGGTTGAAATTAGATGATTTTAATGTATTTCCACGTGTTAAAACCGAAAGTGACCATAAAAATTATATATTAGCTCTTGTTTTCAAGATATAGTATTTAGTAAACAACTGAAATAAATACCTGTATATTAAAGTATGAAACAAAGGCTTTTGTGATATGGAAATCGAAGATATTTTTGTGAAAGACTGAGAATTCAATTTTGCAAGATCATATCACATCATAATTGAAAATTGCTTACTCATAGTACTATGCACCAGCTCACAACAAGATAGCATCATAATCATGATTTTTATAGAGATTTATCTGTAAGACTTTACCTATAGGTTTTTTCAGATTTGAAATAGGTTCAGAATAACATTATGAGTTGAAATAAATTATAAGTTCTGGTCTTATTGGTCCTCTTCATATAACAGTAAAAATGGATGTGGAACACTATCTAGATGGACACCACCAAGGACGTTTCCCCACAGTTGAAGAAAAGGAGAAGATCAGAAACATCTTTACTTCTAGCCTTCAGCTATGCTGTTACGTTTCAATTTAGCACTAGATCAAACTGCTCTTATGTGACCTTTCAAAACACTACCTTACCTTTTAAGGTTTTTATTCAAAGGATATTAACAATGAAATTCAGTTACAAGTTGATTTTATTCATTCAACATCATAGTAATGGGAATCTTCCGTTCCATAGAAAACCATACCTGAAATATACAAGAATAAATGTAAGCTCCCTGACTAACTGCTTTGACCAGTACTTACACATTCTCCTATTGCCAATCGACGTTGGAGATCCGAAATTCCTCGCTAGGTTGAAATAGTTGTTATTGTTTGTTTCTCAGTTTTCTTCACCTATCATTTTTTTCAGCCGTTGTCTGCCTTATTCCCTAT